GACAAGCTGAGGGAGTCAGCGAGCTGGCAGGAGGCTAGCCAAGAAATGCCATCTGCAGGGAAATTGCTAGCTATAGGGGACTACTCTGAATCTGTTTCTAGATAGAGAAGCAGGTGAGACCTTGTACTTTTGACTTCCTATTTTTCTCTTAAACAGTTGCAGGAGGGAAGCAGGTGATGGCGGGGGGGAGGGGGGAGTGGTGGAGGCAGGCAAGGTAGGGGGAGCAAGTGACTGGTGCCAAGGTGCAAAGGGGGACAAATGGTGGAGGTCAGGCTGCTTCATTTCCTCCCCCCACGCCCCATCTGTTACCCTACTGCCTGCCCCCCTCTTGTTGCTTTCCCCACTGCAGAGTTCAAGCCATTCAATAACTAAATTCCTCCACTGCTTTACTCTATTTTCAGTCAAGTCTTCTAAGGTCCTACCTCTATGCCAAGATCCTGGAAAATCTGGGGTTCTCTATGCATCAGGGCTCCCTTTGGTCCAAGGCACCCTGCATGGGCTGTCCCAATCCCACTAACCCTGGATTTCCCTAACAGCCCAAAAGACTTTCAATACTGACTGATGTGGCCAAACAGAGTCTGTGGAGCTGTGTCATCTGGCCTGTGGGGATCCTTGTTGGTCTAGAAATTTGGCAGCAGAGTAGCAGTGGCAGCTCCTAGAGTTGCAGTAATTAGCACTTTTTCTGCCACTAAATTACCAAACATATGAGGAACCCCACAGGCCAGAAGACACGGCCCCACATACCACATTGAGCTTATGGACTGGGCCCATGCCACTCATCCAGCCGTCTGGATGGGGTGGTTAAAGCTTCCATGGGGGATGAATGAGTTGGGCACCCCTGGTATTGACAAATCAGCATTTTCCAATTAAAAACTTGCACTGGAAAACACCCAACCCATGTTATTTCTCACTCACAGAAGTCAAAGATTTGCTATGCTGGGAACTTTAGTAACATCCTATTGTTTCAGAACAAACCAGCCAAAACTCCAACCAACAAAGTCAAGTGTTGACCCTTCTAAACCCAACTCCACTTCCTTCAGATAGGTCTACATTTTCCTTTCATCTAAATTACAATGTTTGAGATGACAGAACTAACAGTTTCTTCAACAGCCATGTCAGAATGTCTACATTTCAAACAGGCACTACCAAACAACAATGAAAATAATAATAATATAAATAATTAATGTTTCAACAATCCAGCAAGCTGAACATTTCCATCACTATATCTGAAATTCTCCCAGTCTGACAGGGAAACTGCATTCTTTATCTGCAGTTATCCATTTATTATGCCTCATACCTATCTCTGACATATTAAAATGTAAATTATGCTACAGAGTTAAATTGATGGGAACACTTCAATGAAAGTATATGAGCTTTAGGTCATAATTATAGGGTGACTCGTAGAAGAAATAATGGAAGAGGACAGAAATGGAATTGTATGCCTGAAACTGCAGGCTAGACATATTTTTTGTTAATGGAGATGTTTCAGAATGAAAGAATTCGGGGGGGGGGGGGGGGGGGTTTT